CATTTGCATGCGTACCGTATACAGGTTTGGTTCTTTGTACAGTCCAGTAGAGCACTTTGTAACCAAAAATTATCTGAGATAGTCTGACCATATCATTCATCAACTGTACAATCACAGGATCATGATATAACACACTCACACAATTAGTTCTATTCTCAATCATCACACTTTTGTATATACTTTCTTTAAATAGCAAGTATACTCGCATTTTGTACATGCAAGGGTGCATACACGTACACACACATATCCATTCACACGTACAAACACGCATCCATTCACACGTACACATACACATAACGACATCGATATGATGAACAAGGGCTATTACAAACACTCACAAATACTCATATACTCTTATAAGCACATGTACAGTCATACATACACCTATAAGTACACACACATACACGTACAAACACAGTTATACACACACACACTTACAAGCACACGCGCTCGACAAGCACATTTATACACACATATACACATAAAACCCACACACTCACACTTACAAGTACACAAACATATATACATATATATATATATATATATACATATATATATATATGTATGTATATACATATATATATATATAAACACACATACAAACACACATATACACATTTACAAGCACACTTACACGTACACATACACTTGTAAGCACAGTTACGCACTTACACAAACATATACACCTCTAAGCACACGCACATGTACTTGTAAACACACTTACACACACCCCATTGCATGGCGAATACCGTACGATCACTTAGCAGGCGGTCCTACACTAGTACAACGCCTTCGGTTTGAGAAAGAAAACGCCATGTACTTGGAAAGGTAAACGGAAACGTGAGCTATATGTAACACCCACGTGGGTGTGCAAGTAGGCGAGTAGTAAAGGATACTGGTGCTACTGTAGAGCGTGCAGGGTTCCTTATGTACCGGAATAGACACAACAACGTATGCGACGTATGCGTGTGTTTGTTTTCCAGAACATTCATCTATGGATCTGCGTGTTCCTAAGCATGAAGGTATAGATATAAAATGCATACACGAGTATGTATACACGAAAAACACGCACTGCTCCTGCAAGAGTATAGTGATATACGGAACTTGTGTGGGTTTGTCTCTGTTACTGAGAGAGAGAACCCTATACCCATGTCTATCATATGAATACCAGCCTACTATAGATAGGTATACCAACATGATGTACGTAGTATCTGCTGTATATAAAGGCAAAAACTCCTGTGGAGAAGACTGTATTACCGAAGAAGAGGCATCTTTACAACGCGTTCGTAGTATGCGTTTGCCCGCCATGTCCTCGCAAGGTACACACACACATGCTATACGTACTGTTATATACATAGCCTAAGTGCTTCTGTGGGCAGAGTTAAACTGCAGTGTAGCGTGTCTCACTGTAGTATAGCGTGTTGCACTGTAGTATAGTATGTATTGTGTTTTCAGATTGCAGAATTAAAGGATGCTGGCACGTGTCATGTTCTTGGGACGCTACACTGTACTGTGTGTCTTACACGCCTACATCATACAACCATGTCAGTACATGCAGAGTGTACTTTGTGTCTTACACGCCTACATCATACACCCATGTCAGTACATGCAGAGTTTAGACTGACATACAATGCGCGAGAAGGAAGGCGTCCCCAAAACACAGTCACATTAACAATAGACCGATGATACTATTAGATTTTAACTACACTGTAATACGACATTAAGTTTACATTGTCTGATTTCTGTGTAGACCGATGGAGTCAATGTCTGGGGAACTGTACGTTGCCGGCGTATATATATATATCACAGAAATGTGTATATATATCATAGAAATGTGACGCATAGATTATAACTACACTGTATTACGACATTACGCTCACATTGTCTGATTTCTGTGTAGACCGATGGAGTCCATGTCTGGTGAACTGTACGTTTTCGGCGTATATATATATACATATATATATATATATCATAGACATGTGACACATAGATTATAACTACACTGTAGTACGACACTACGCTCACATTGTCTGATTTCTGTGTAGACCGATGGAGTGCATGTCTGGTGAGCTATACGACATAGCGGTGGCTTGTTGGAACCCGAACGCCGACGAACGGCCCCTACTGCCGGCATTGGTAACCAAGCTGGAATCTATCTTTGACAGGTAATCGACACAAGTAAACACTTTGGTATCGAATTTTAGCTAATTTCGATCGTATAAGGCTTTATCTCATGCAACTGACAGTAGAAGTGTTGTTCAGGCATTGATAGTAGCGTTGTTAGTTTATCTTCATGCAACTCATCCTATGTCCGACTATGTGTCTTAAGGTTAAATCAATTCAACCACACTTAAGCATTCAGGATTGGCTCTATTCAACCATACTTAGATATTTAGGATTAGCTCAATTCAACTACACTTGAATATTCAGGATTAGATCAATTTAACCACGCTTAAATATTCAGTATTGAATTAATTCAACCACAATTAAATATTAGGATTAGACCAAGACTACACTTGTTGGGAGTATATCAATTAAATCACAACATATATTCAGGATTGACACTATTCAACCAGACTTAGAATATTCAGAACTAGCTCGATTCAACCACTTTTAAATACTCAGGATTAAGTTTATTTGATCGCATTTAAATATTCGGGATTAAATCAATTCAACTACCCCTAGATATCCAGGATTAAATCAGTTCAACCACACTCAGATATTCAGGAATAAATCAATTCAACCGACTTAAATATTCAGGGCTAACCCTATTCAACCGTGTTTGAATATTCAGGACCAAGGGCAGTGGCTGTAATATGTGTGGTGAGCCGTTGATTGGGCATCCAGGGGTATGTATGTCAGACATGTGTAGTATAGTCGGGCAATAGGCTGAGTGGACTGATCGTCGGCACTGCACCTATACATAGTTTTGGTCATTTCGATGTCACAGAGACGTGCGTGTGCATGGGCTGTGTGTATATTTATAGGCCTATATCTGACGATATATCCAGGCTTTGTGCTCTCAGCATCTGCCTATATCTGAAAAAATCAGCTCAATCACGGAATCAAATATATATTCTCATTTTATTGTATGGAGTGGCGTGCGTTGGTGTGGTACAATGGTTTTATTCTGTCATACCCATTGCGTTCATATACACATGCGAGAGTGTAAAGTCGGGTGGATTTCCCCCATTCAAACCTTGATTGTTTCCGATAACGTTTGGAATCGGGTGTATAGGGAACCTCTATCTTATACTGATGCAGACACGAGGAGATGCCATCTGGCAGGAATAGTATCTTGGCTGTGCTCCTCTTCACCACGCTCTACAAACACACAGTACAACACTTATCGATATTGCAATGTGTGACACATCCATCGAAGTCGATTTGATATGTAAGATCCCTACTGCACTCTACTACAGATACGCATGAATACCAGCACACAGCAAGCACTGTCATGGTTGTACTCTACTTCGTTTCACTACACAGTCACGCCATCTATGAAGACTCAGGGCTACTACGATGTGTGCGGTACGAAAGGTGCCTCCGCCCCAGGCAGTGGGTGTGACATGGCACAACTGGTGCCTAAGATGAGCATGCCTGTAGATGTACAACATGGCCACCCAAGCTACTCGGGAATATCCTAGAGAGTCACCGAGACCACATAAATTATATATATATATATATGATATATAGACAGCGGGATACGGATGAAAGCATGCTAGTGCGAACGACGAGAGCACGACTGTGGATATTTACTATGGGTTTATATACTTGTGAGAGGAAATGCGAAATAGCGATATACAGGTCATGGTTGACATATGGACACACTTAATTACATACAGGAATAAAAGACTAGCATGGTTGTAGATGACCAATATGGTCACCTCCAAGCTACATGAAATCACGCTGGAGTAACATTTAGGGCAAAACCGATATATACATATATATATATACTCAGGACAAAACCGACATATAAATATATCCAGGACATATCTGTTGTGACATTTAGAAGTAAACCTACATATAGATATATCCGAGGACATATCTGTGACAATTAGGAGTGAACCGACATATAGATATATCCGAGGGCATATCTGAGATCATACTCCAGGCCGAGACAAGCGAGCCGCAGGATTCCTACCACTGCCACCTGAGCTATAAAGTATACTTCGAAGTGCAACAGAATACAACAAAGCACACTAGAAATTGAATAAAAGTTTACCTTTAGATGTCTATTTATTTTATAGCTGGCCCAAGTTTATATAAAGCTACGCTCGAGAGCGATATATATATAGGACTCAATTGACAATTGGAATACGTTTGAAAGCATGCCAGTGATTAAAAAGAAGTATGTCCGTGACTGTTTAACTCGACTGCACGGGCACTACTGAAACGTGTTCAATAGGGACGAACAGAGCAACGGTTGGCATGAGAAAACGTATTTCTAAACGCACTGCAAACAAAGGAAAGTGTACACCGGGGTGTCTACCATTGCCACCCAAGCTACATATAATAAGTTGGAAAGTGATATACGAGACACTGGTCGACATAAAGAAATAAATAGATATTGCTGGAACCATATGCCTGTGAACGTCTACCGCAGTATCTAAGCTGCACAGGTGATACGTTATTGAGCGTCAGCTAAATTACAATCGAGACATACATACGTGAAATATACACAACAAACGTACGTGGCCGCCCTGGTAGTTCGTAGTCATACAGGTTCAGGACATGCAGGACACGATCAGTCTATTTATAAAGAAAATGTTAGCGTCCTACCTAGTAAGCAAAGGTAGAGGGGTGTATAGAGAGGTGTGAATGGGTCCATGCACGTACACTACACGGCTGGTATCCGGGTACGGGCTCCTGGTAAAGAGTATACGTACAGCAACACGCAGGAGCTTGATGCTTGGTGGTGACATTCACCAGGTACTAGACGATGGATTGAACACGTACAAAGATTATACCTCAACGCCGCATACAATAAGAAGATAGGGTTATTAAGCTATTAATAAGAAGGTAAGGATTTTAGTTCACACGCTTTTCGGATACACTCTGGATCCATGATTTAAGTAAAGTTATTAATAAACAATATTAGGATACTCTGGATCCTTAGTGAGGCTAAAGTGATCAATGAACACAATATTAGGATACGCTTTGGATGCTTGGTTTAGTTAAAGGTAATGGTTTACACAGTAATAGGATACACTCGGGATACTTGGTGAAGCTAAAGTTATTAATTATCACAATATAAGGATACGCTTTGAATCCTTGGTTAGATAAATTTAATGGTTCGCATAGTATTAGGATACATTCGGGATGCTTAGTCTAGTTAAAGGTAATGGTTTACACAGTAATAGGATACACTCGGGATACCTGGTTAAGCTAAGGTTATTGAGTAACATAATATAAGGATACGCTTTGAATTCCTAGTTTGGATAAAGTAAATGGTTCACACGTCGGCATGTTTGGTCTAGTTAAAGGTAATCATTTACGCAGTATTAGGATCCACTCGGGATACTTGGTTAAGCTAAGGTTATTGATTAACATAATATAAGGATACGCTTTGAACCCTTGGTTTGGATAACGTAAATGGTTCACATAGCATTGGAATACATTCGGGATGCTTGGTTTTGTCCAGCTAATGGGTTGAGAGTGCTCACCAATGAGCAACTAATTCGACGAACAGGAGCACCGCAGATAGAGATAGTATTGTACATTGCCATTGGTTACACCGTTGTGTTCTGGTTTATTTTCAGGACAGCCTAGAGTCTGTGGTTCCGGTGACTGCACACACGAAAGTCGATAAAGGAATGACAAAGAGGATTTGTAACTGCTCCTATTGAGCTCCTCATTGGAAGTAGTTAAATACAGTATTCTACTACTATGTAAGACAGCCGCATGTAAGATAACTGCAATCTACACAAACCATCAGTGATACACCCCCCACCATATGTACTACGTACATAGGCTAGTGAGTGGCCACCTAATTCCTCATCAAGCTTTATTTATGAAATAAGGTCATGTTCTGTTTTTAGGGGGAAACCCTGAAACCCAACAACTGCTCCCAGGTACTGATAATGAGCGGACCGCCTGGTACATACTGTCAATATGCACCTGTAAAATATAGAAACGGGCCCTTCTACTAGTACTGAAAATATGCACTTAAAAAATAGGGTAGCGGACCGCCTAGTCCAGTTCCTCCGCCTTGAGATCAATCAAATCCTAAAGTAAATTTTAAAGCACTGCGAAATGAAGTCTAAAATCTGCCTATAATACACTTCATCATCAGATAAATATGGTAATATTGGATACTGATATGACTGCTGATATGGAGGCATGCTACTAGTAGAGCCCTTACTAGTGACCAACCACATAGTAGTGCTACCACGCCATACATAAATGCTTCACACTTGAACCATGTCGTATGACCCCAGTCTATTACATCTGCCGCGGCTGTGGTCGACTGACCGGCGCATCAGGCTGAGCATAGCTGTGATAGGTGCAAAGAAAGTGGGCAAGACGTCACTGATATACAACTATGTAGGATACTCTGGGTCACGTGACAGCCTAAAAGATAGTGTCAGTAGCTTGTCATCTATGCATCTGAACGAGGCTTTTGTGCCTTGGTTAGGGGATTGCGCTAGCGAATCAATCACGTTAGGTGAATTGGCTAGGAATTCATCACATAGCAACCATAACCACAAGACATCTGTGTCTAATAAGAATACGGGGCTGTATCGGTATAGGAGCACGGGCAATGATTCAAAGGCCAGTGAGACGAGCAGTGTTAACACCAACGGGTCACGCTCCCAGGCCTCGTCTGGTACGGGCCAGAGCACCTTTAAGTATAAGGAAACACTTGAAGATGTGTATCAGATCAAAGTTAAGAACCAGAAAGAGAGGTTTAAGATCACCATCACCGACACCCCGGGCAATCCGAATGTGCTCGCTCTGTTTTTTGAGGAGTATTTAGCTAAGCATTTCTCGTTTATATTGGTCTACTCGATTGTTGACGAAGCATCAATTCGATTTGTCGAAGGTAAGGCGGTGTGACGCTCAATTTAGCTTATTCAAGCACATGTACCGTATAAGTATACACATACACATACACACACACGTGTACACACACGTATATATATATATATATATGTGTGTGTGTGTGTGTGTGTGTGTG